CCTCCTCCTCCTTCACCATACTGGCACCAGCAGTCTTTAACACGGAGAAAGAGCTCTTAGCACCACCAGCTGTAGCGGCTGTAGCGGCTGTCGCATTTCCAGCTCTGGCAGTTGCTGCAGTGGTAAAAGGTGTGCTTGCTTGCTCAGCTTGAGGCGTCTTCTCCTCTGCCTCCTCTTCATCCTCTTCCACCTCTTCCTCCTCCTCCTCCTCCTCCTTCTTCACTGCACTGATCGCAGCAGCAGGCTTGAACGGGGACAACACGTTTCCAGTGTCAGCAGTTGTAGCAGCAGCTGTAGCGGTAACTGTAGCCGCAGCTTGGGCAGCACCTGCAGTGGTAAGAAGCTTGCCTGCTTGCTTGCCTTGAGACGTCTTCTCCTCGGCTTCCTCTTCATCCTCCTCTTCCTCCTCCTCCTCCTTCGCATCCTCCTCCTCCTTCTTCACTGCACTCCCAGCAACAGTCTTTAACGGGGACAAAGACTTCTCAGTGCCAGCGGCTGTAGCAGCCACTGCGGGCCCACCTGTGGAAGCGCCAGTAGTGGTGAGAGCCGCGGCTTCTTGCTTGGCTTGAGGCGGCTTCACCTCGGCCTCATCGTCTTCCTCTTCCTCCTCCTCCTCTTCATCGTCCTCCTCAGCTCCCTTCGCCTTCACCTGCGAATTTTTCAGCTCAGAGCCGCCCCTCGTTAGTGTTCCTGCCCCTGTTGTAACTCCACTCCTCCTAAGAGCATCACTGTTGGCTGCTTGAACCTCACTGCCTGTCTCACTGCCTGTCCCACTGCCTGTCCCACTGCCTGTCCCAGTGCCTGTCCCACTGCCTGTCGCTCCCAACACCCCCTCTCCTCTAGGCTTCACTCCCCCACTGCCCTCCTTCCCATCTTCCTCCTCCTCCTCTTCCTCCTCTTCCTCTTCCTCTTCCTTCTCGTCTTGCTTCTCCGCCTTACTCTTTCCATTCCCACTCATAGCCCCACGCAGACTATCACCTCCCTTATTATCACCTCCCACATTTGCCCCTCCATTACCTTTCCGAGCATTAACTCTGGTATTGGTTTCCTTAGGTACCTTCGCTGCCGTCCCCCCCTCCTCATCCTCCTCCTCCCCCTCATCCTCTTCCTCATCCTCCTCCTCCTCTCCCTCTGCCTTCTCACCCTTTCTCCCCCCCACACTTTCCCCCCTCGTCTCTGTCGCTGTCTCTTCAGCTGCCTCGGCCCCCCTCACTCCCCCCCCCCTCCTCCCTTTCTCCCCTCTTCTCTCTCGTCTCAGCCCAAACCACCGGGAGACAGCTCCCTTTCGCGTCTCTGCCATGATCCGCCGGTCCCCTCCCACTCCCGTAGACGAGCCAGTCCCGCGCTGCCACGTGTCCGCTACAACATCCGCGGTTGCATCCGCGCTCTTCCTTGTCTCTGGCATGATCCGCCGGTCCAGAACCTCCCCATCCGCGTTATCGTGGGCTCCGGTATCCGATGAAATGTCGGCGGCGGACTCAGCTCGCCCTGCTGCGGCGGAATCGGCGTCAGTCACGGCGGGAATGGCGGCGCCAGTCACGACAGCGAGTTTCCTGTGTGCCACGGACACCCCACCGGCACTTATCCCCGCTACAAGAGGAGGCGTTACCGCGAGTGTTAGGACGGCCAGAATGAGGAGCTGAAGACGGAAAATCGTACACTCAAGCGTTGACGATCTCGCGGATTTCTTGCGAATGGCTGTGATGCGAGAGGTAGCCATCGCTGTTGAAATCTTCCTGCTGCTGTGAGACGAGCGCACTGCTGCGCTGCTGTTACGCTGCTGCTATGCGCATGTAAGCCCACTCTCTAAAAATATTTTCTTCTCCTCGAGTCTAACTTTGCTACGCGCTCTCGTTTATATGCCAGAACTCCGTTTCAGGTATCTGCTCCAGCTGCCTCGCAGAAACGCGGTGAGGAACTGCGGTAAGGAGGTGACTTTTGAGTCGACTCAAAAGTCAGGTATCTGCTCCAGCTGCCTCGCAGGAACGCCGCCAGGAACTGAGGTACGGCGCACAGCGGATTCGTCGTAACAAAGTTAGAAGGCATCGCGTGAATTCCCTACCCACCCACCCATTTTCCGTGGTGCCGAAACAGTTCGGCTAGCCTGAAACAGTTAGTGTGTGGAAACGGGCAGTCACGGCTGGACATCCCTGGGGTGGAGTGAGCGGATGAGCGAGCAGGAAGGGAACAGGCAATTGATGGCGTATTTGATGGATTCAGGGACGAGTTGCGGGACTTCAGTACGACAAAGTTGACGAATTTCTGCAAGGGAACGAAGTGTATTGGTCCTGCAGTCGGAGGCGTCGAAAAAGCAACATGACATGAAATTGACATTATACTGACTCCAGGCTCGTAGTCTCTCGCTGCTAGCGAGAGTCAAGCTCCTTGGATAAGTCCTGACGGATCCGAAGTCGAACCAACCAGAAACCGACATTCCTCCAGATATAGGACCACACTAACCTTTACACACCTCTCAACCTCTATCGGTCGGTGGTGCTGTCGCCAACCTCGTCGAACGACTATAACGACGTCGCAGCGAGCCCCGGTTCCCGTCGCGAGCGTCGTGTGGGATGGTAAAATTTCGCATTGAGTTGAGACTGTCTCGCCGAGTTCGAGCCTGTACAGTTCGGGGGAGTTGTACTGGAAGCATATAAGTAGTTGTATGCTTTGGTTCTGCATCCCTTTATTAAAATGGAGAATAGAATTGCCCCACGTTTTGCATTTACATTTGTGCCTTGTTTTAAACAAAAAATCACCTCACTGGAGTTCCTCCCAGTAAATTTGCAATGTGAAGAAGGTGTTTCCAAACTTTCTGAAATTCAACATGTCGAAGTTGAGGTGGCACTAAAAAGACGACACATGCCCAACACTCTCATTTCATGTCTTAGAGTGCAGGGTCACCAGAACAAGCCATAGTTTTTTTTTTTTATGGAATTTGGGTTTTCACACAATTAAAAGGCTTCCAGCAGTGTGCTATTTGTTTTTCAGGTATAGAAAACTATCTATTTCATTGCAACAAGATGGAGCTTTGGGGAGCCCAAGCTCTTGATAAAACAGAGTGGCATTTTCACGATTGTGCGTCATCTCTAGCGAGGTTTGAAGTGACCTGGAGGTAGCCCTATGCAAGACCTACTTCCAGTTCAAATTTGGGCCCTTTTGGTTCACGAAATTGGGCTGTGGGCCTTTTTAAATATCCCTAGGGGGTTTTTTTTTTTTTCCAACCTTAACCCTTGATAAAACATTGTGCCATTTCCACTATTGTGCATCCTTTTTAGCGAGGTTTGAACTGAACTCAAGGTAGCTCTATGCAAGACCTACCTCCAGCTCAAATTTGGGCCCTTTTGGTTCACGTAATTGGGCTGTGGGCCTATTCTGATATCCCTAGGGGGGTGGTTTATTTTTTCCAACCTTAACCCTTGATAAAACATAGTGCAATTTCTACTATTGTGAATCAATTTTAGCAAGGTTTGAAGTGACCTCAAAGTAGCCCTATGCAAGACCTACCTCCAGTTCAAATTTGGGCTCTTTTGGTTCACGGAATTGGGCTGTGGGCCTATTTTAATATCCTTGGGGCGGGTGATTTATTTTTCCCAACCTCACCCCTTGATAAAACATACTGCTATTTCGACTATTGTGCTTCATTTTTAGCAAGATTTGAAGTGCCCTCAAGGTATCCCGATACAAGACCTACCTCCAGTTCAAATTGGAGCCCTTTTGGCTGTGTCAGAGTGATGGTGCGTGATGCTCTGTCCCTAGCGATCTGCAGGCCAAAATAGCGACGCAGCTCTCCAAGGTCAGTGCAGGTGTGTCTCTTCAGAAGCTCGGTCTTCACAGAGGCCAGTGCGTCCCTGTGCGCGTAGCGAAGACCAGATCGTGCCAAGTAGACAAGGATGTAGAATGGAGTCTGGCCGGAACGCACAAACAGCGAGGGGTCAGCAGAGGACGGAAAGAACTGCAGGTCTGCCAATGTGGCCTGCAGCGTGTCATGCCACTCGCGAGGAGCCTGACGCAGGCTGTAAACCGGGCGCCTGAGAAGCCACTGGGTCCTAGGGGGGAAGGTACCAGTAAAGCCCTGTGGTCGGCGTAGGTAGACCTGCTCGTGTAGGCTGCCCTGAAGAAAGGCAGTAGAGAAGTAGAGGGAGTGAAGCTTGTAGTCGCGTTGTGCTGCTATTGGCCGTCTCAATAGTAGCAAAGCGCGAGCGCTCAGACACAGGGAGGGCGTGGCTAATAGCAACCTGAGCGACTGCATCGCGGGAGTCCCAGACCGCACAGGCAAGCGCAGCAGTAGAGAAGGTCTCACAGTCATCAGAGGAGGGGTCAGCAGGGAGGGGAGCAGGTGCGGAGGGGTGGGGGAGCAAGCCGTCGACATGGACAACCAAAGAGTGGCCATCCTTGCGCTGACCTGTAAGGTGGCGGCGGAGATTGGAGAGCCAAGCGGCGAAGTCAACCGCATGGCCCTCGACGTCCAGTCAGAACACGAAGTCAGCCATCGTGCAGGGTCAGCGGCACAGCTCCACAGGAACACAGCGACGCAGGGACACGGCGGCAGCACTCTCCAGCACGGCGGCCGCGAGGCGCCCCAGCACTGGCGAGTAGAGTAGACGGAGCCCGAGGTGGCACGGCAGGACGAGCAGGCACGAAGCGGGGCCGGGCGGGCAGTGGGAGAGGCCAGGCAGACGCGGCGGGGCCGGTAGGCGCGGAGGGGCCAGGCAGGCTCGGCGGGGCCTGGCAGGCGCGGCGGGGCTAGGCAGTCGCGGCGTGGCCAGGCAGGCGCGGCGGGGCCAGGCAGGCGCGGAGGGGCCAGGCAGGTGCGGCGGGGCCAGGCAGGCGCGGTGGGGCCAGGCAGGCGCGGCGGGGCCAGGCAGGCGCGGCGGGGCCAAGTAGGCGCGGCAGAGCCAGGCAGGCGCGGCGGGGCCAGGCAGGCGCGGCGGGGCCAGGCAGGCGTGGCAGGGCCAGGCAGGCGCGGAGGGGCCAGGCAGGCGCGGCGGGGCCAGGCAGGCGCGGCGGGGCCAGGGAGGCGCGGTGGGGCCAGGCAAGCGCGGCGGGGCCAGGCAGACGCGGCGGGGCCAGGCAGGCGCGGAAGGGCCAGGCAGGCGCGGAGGGGCCAGGCAGGCGCGGCGGGGCCAGGCAGGCGCGGAAGGGCCAGGCAGGCGCGGAGGGGCCAGGCAGGCGCGACGGGGCCAGGCAGGGCGCGACGGGGCCCAGGAGGGTCGCGAAAGGGCTAGGAGGCGCGACGGGGCCCAGGAGGGGCGCGACGGGGCTAGGAGGCGCGACAGGGCTAGGAGGCACAACGGGGCCCAGGAGGGACGCGACGGGGCTAGGAGGCGCGACGGGGCCCAGGAGGGGCGCGACGGGGCCCAGGAGGGGCGCGACGGGGCTAGGAGGCGCGACGGGGCCCAAGAGGGGCGCGACGGGGCTAGGAGGCGCGACGGGGCCCAGGAGGGGCGCGACGGGGCCCAGGAGGCGCGACGGGGCCCAGGAGGGGCGCGACGGGGCTAGGAGGCGCGACGGGGCCCTAGGGTGGGGGGGCGGGGGGGGGGGGCGCGGCGGGGCCTAGCTAGGGTACGGGCGGAAGCGGTAGGTGGGGGATTCTAACCTACGCGTGATACCATGTTAAAGTAAGAACTGAATAATGGACTAGAAGTGGAAACCTAGAACAAATACTAGTCGGTTGTACTCACTAGAAGCATACCTCAGTCTAGCCTATAACTTCTACATAACTAATATGTATAAGTTGACACCTTACCCCTTGATAAAACATACTGCCATTTCGACTATTGTGCTTCATTTTTAGCAAGGTTTGAAGGTTTGAGCGGATGAGCGAGCAGGAAGGGAAGAGGCAATTGAGGGCGTATTTGAAAATGGATTCAGGGACGAGTAGAGGGTCTTCAGTACGACAAAATTGACGAATTTCTGCAAGGGAACAAAGTGTATTGGTCGTGTGGTCGGAGGCATCGAAAAAGCAACTGGCATGAAATTGACATTATACTGACTCCAGGCTCGTAGTCTCTTCGCTGCTAGCGAGAGTCAAGCTCCTTGAATACGTCCTGACAGTTCAAAAGTCAAGCCAAGCAGTAACCGACATTCCCAAGGTTGGTTGGATCTTGGGGAACATGTTCGCTGGAGCTTAGCACGTACGTATGTATCGGGCCATCTCGAATGGACAACCAATCCACCCTACGAATTAAATTTGTCAATACATGTCAAATGCCTCGTACACGTTTCCAGCTACATTATACCACGAATCTCAGTTGAGTCTTTTAGGCATGGTGAGATAGCAGCCGCAATCCATTGAAACGCCTCAACAGCTTAGTGTCAAACATCTGTATTTGTTATGTTTGTATAGACTGTATAGGGTTACCTCTTAGAGGGTACAACACTTAGGTATATTTGTGTGTACTCTCACTTTACCATCATTCAATTCTAATTCTGATATGGTATCACGCGTAGGTAGGATCCCCCCCACCTCCCGCTTCCGCTCATGCCCCCTAGCGCCCCTCCTGGGCCCCGTCGCGCTCCTCCCAGGCCCCGTAGCGCCCCGTCGCGCCCCTCCTGGGCCCCGTAGCGCCCCTCCTGGGCCTCGTCGCGCCCCTCCTGGGCTTCGTAGCGCCCCTCCCAGGCCCCGTCGCGCCCCTCCCAGGCCCCGTCGCGCTCCTCCCAGGCCCCCTAGCGCCCCTCATGGGCCCCGTCGCGCTCGTCCCAGGCCCCGTAGCGCCCCGTCGCGCCCCTCCTGGGCCCCGTCGCGCCCCTCCTGGGCCTCGTCGCGCCCCTCCTGGGCTTTGTAGCGCCCCTCCTGGGCCCTGTAACGCCCCTCCCAGGCCCCGTCGCGCCCCTCCCAGGCCCCGTCGCGCACCTCCCAGGCCCCCTAGCGCCCCTCCTGGGCCCCGTCGCGCTCCTCCCAGGCCCCGTAGCGCCCCGTCGAGCCCCTCCTGGGCCCCGTAGCGCCCCTCCTGGGCCTCGTCGCGCCCCTCCTGGGCTTCGTAGCGCCCCTCTTGGGCCCTGTAACGCCCCTCCCAGGCCCCGTCGCGCCCCTCCCAGGCCCCGTCGCGCTCCTCCCAGGCCTCCTAGCGCCCCTCCTGGGCCCCGTCGCGCTCCTCCTAGGCCCCGTAGCGCCCCTCCTGGGCTCTGTCGCGCCCCTCCTGGGCCCTGTCGCGCCCCTCCCAGGCCCCGTCGCGCCCCTCCTGGGCTACGTAGCGCCCCTACTGGGCCCCGTCGCGCCCTCCCTGGGCCCTGTAGCGCCCCTCCTGGGCCCCGTCGTGCCCCTCCCAGGCCCCGTCTCGCCCCTCCTGGGCCCCGTCGCGCCCCTCCTGGGCTTCGTCGCGCCCCTCCTGGGCTTCGTCGCGCCCCTCCTGGGCCACGTTGCGCCCCTCCTGGGCCCCTGTAGCGCCTCTCCTGGGCCCCCCGTCATGCCCCTCCTGGGCCCCGTAGCGCCCCTCCTGGGCCGCGTCGCACCCTGCCCGACCCCGTCGCAGCCGCCCGGCTCCGTCGCGCCCGCCCGGCGCCGTCGCAGCCGCCCGGCCCCGTCGCGCCCGCCCGGCGCCGTCGCACCCGCCCGGCCCCGTCGCAGCCGCCTGGCCCCGTCGCCCTTGCCTGGCCCCATCGCAGCCGCCCGGCCCCGTCGCACCCGCCCGGCCCCGTCGCACCCTGCCCGGCCCCGTCGCAGCCGCCCAGTCCCATCGCACCCGCCCGGCCGCCGTCCCGCTCGCCCGGCCCCGTCGCACCGGCCTTGCCCCGTCGCGCCCGCTCGGCCCCGTCGCCCCGTCCCGGCCCTGTCGCACCAGCCCGGCCCCGTCGCGCCTGCCCGGCCCCGTCCGGCCAGCCCCGGCCCCGTCCTCCTTACTGGTACGGTTCCCCCCCACCCCGCCCTGCTCCGTGCTGCCCCGCACCACACTGTACTGCCTGGCACCGCACTACACCGCACTACACCGCACTGCACCGCACTGCACCACACTGCACCGCACTGTACCGCACTGCACCGCACTGCACCGCACTGTACCGCACTGCACCGCACTGCACCGCACTGCACCGCACTGCACCGCACTGCACCGCACTGCATCGCACTGCACCGCACTGCACTGCACTGCCCTTCACCGCACTGGACTGTTCCTAATGGCGGCGGAGCTTCGCTTCGACGCTGAAGGTCAGCCCCTACAGTTCGAGGCGTGGCTTGCCGACCTCCGCCACCAACTCACTGGCCAGCGGCAGGATGGTGAACCGCTTTCCGCACACCTTGACGGTACGCTCCCCTGCCCAGACCCCCCTGCTATTCTGCCCGCTGACCCCACACCCACTGAGCGTGAGTCTACTGCTGCCACTGCCCGTGCGCGCTCTGTCTGGCTTTCTCGCGATGCTGTTGCCCAGCTTGCCATTAGCAACGCCCTTCCCCCATCCGAGCGTCCTCGCTTTAGGTCCCTCACTACTGCTCAGGCATACTTAGATGCTGTCATCAAGCGCTATTCCACCCCTCCGGCTGCCTCGGTGGGTCGCCTGATCCTTCCGATGCTCTTTCCTGACCTTGCATCTTTCCCCACTGTCTCTGACCTCGCTGCCCACCTGCGCTCGATAGATGAGACCTGACGCGCTGCCTGCACTGACGCCCAGCTTAGAGCCCACCAGCCGCCCATTACCTCTACCCTCTACCTGCTTGCCACCCGCCTCCCTGACCGCCTTGCTGTCGCCCGCGACCGCTTTCTTAGCGTTCACCCCGCAGACCTCACCCTCACTGACTTTGTAGACACCCTGACTGTGATAGAGACCCGTCACCGCTCCATCGCCCAGGCGAGCGGTGTCGTGCCGGTCCCTATCTTTCAGGGTTGTGCCCCCGCTCAGTGCACCTTCTCCGACGGCTCTGCCGCAGTGGCTGAGACTGCTGCTGCAGCGCAGGTCCGTTCGGGGAAGGGCCGCCGCCCCAAGGCTGGGCGCGGCGGAGGAGGCGGCGGGGGTGCGGGCGGGGGTAGTGGTGGGGTCGGGTCGCCTGGTGCTGGAGTGGACGAGGGGGCCCTGCCCAGTTCAGCTGAGTCGCCGCCCCTGCAGGTGCAGCAGTCGCAGCAGCCGCCGCAGTCGCAGCCTTCGCAGCAGCCGCAGCAGCCGTCGCAGACGCGGCAGACGAGTGTCCTCCCGCCAGGGTGGCCCGGCGCTGGCGGTGGCCGGGCACGTGGTGGTGTGCCGCGTGGTGGCTCTGGCGGCGGGCGTTGTCAGTACCAGATCCAGACCGATCCTCGCCGCGGCTTCGTTTGCGGTAAGATCGGTCACTCCACTCCCCGCTGTTTTCGTCGCCTGGACGACCTCTTTCGTCAGCGCTTCGGCCCGTCGCCAGACCTCCCGGACTAGCACAGTTTGCTTAGTCGTCAGATTCAGATTTTTGATATGGACATGGATGCCATTGTTTCCACTCTGCATGTGATGTATGCTGATGACTCTAGTGTGCTTCCCGCTTATTACTCACTGTTGCCTAGTGTAGGTGTGCCTAGCTTAGCCTCCCCTGCTGCGTCAGGCGTAGGATCCCCTGCTTTGTGTAGTCTTGGTGCTTCCGCCGTCGTTCCGTCGCCAGACCCCTCGGCTTCGCTGTCCTTCACCCTGGACTCTGGCGCCTCTCGGTGTTTCTTCCGCGACTCCACCACCCTGACGCCGCTTCCTGTTCCTGCTGCCGTTTCTCTTGCTGACCCCTCCGGCGGTCCGGTAGTCGCCCGCAGTTCCACCACCCTTCCCTGTCCGGCGGTTCCTTCGGGTTCTCTTACAGGTCTGCATATCCCCTCGTTCTCCAGGAACCTAGTTGGTGTCGGCTGCTTCCAGGACCTTGGCGTCACCACTACGTTCCCTGGCCACGAGCGGTATGCTGTCTGTACCGAGGCCGCCACTGGTACCCCCCTGTCCACGTTCCCCCGGGACCCGGTGTCCGGCCTGTTCACTCTGGACACCGTGACCCCCCCGGCTGGAGCGCCCCCTCAGGTGGCTGCGTCTACCCAGGTTGCTGCTGCCTGCTCCTGTCGCTCCCTCACTCACCCGACCCTCCTGTGGCACCACCGCCTAGGTCACCCTGCGCTCCCGCGTCTGCGTCACATGTCTCAGCACGGTCTCGTCCTTGGTCTCCCAGGTTCGCTCCCCGCGTTTCCCTCCTCTCCAGCCCCACCTTGCACGCCTTGTGTCGAGGGTCGGCTTCGCCGTGCCCCTCACTCCTCCTCGTTTCCCCCTACCGCCGCGCCGCTGCAGACCCTGCACCTGGACGTCTGGGGCCCCGCCCCCGTCCCTGGGCCGCGTCGAGAGCGCTACACTGAGGGAAAAAACCGTCCGGATGTTTGGCAATAAGTTGGGTTTTTAGGCTTTGAGACTACTGTATGGTAAACCTGCAAGATGCACGGTGGTACATGTTGGGAGAGGCACAAAGTGGATGCGTTCACTACACTAAGAACTAGAATAGTACATTGGATCTAACTCATACTCCAAAAGATATACAACGAGTACATCCGGACAGTTTTTTCCCAGGACAAAGAGCAAACTTCCGAACAACGTTTCTAGTACCTAGTCCACCTACTCTTGGCGTTGATCACCATCCACACCCTCCTAGGCATGTTATCTATGTGGTTAGTGCAGACCTTTGCATGAAGCTTCTTGCACTCTTCCTTGACCCACCATTTTGCATAAGGGGGTGAGCACAAGGAAAATTGCGAAGTATTTGAGCGTATGCATAAGTATTGTGCACGAATTCAGATTGAATGTAATCTCTGAGACTAGCCAAGCCGAGGGGTGTCCAAAGATGCCATTACTTGAATGGTCCCGGCTTATCATGGGTTGTTTTCGTCGAATCAGAGTAGGGTGAAATCACGTATAGAGTGGCAAAATCTAGCATACCCGCCACGAAACTTAGGGTAACAGAGCACGGTCGATTGAGCATCCTTTCATTGTTAGAATCATGTTAAAATCCGCGAGTCTAGTGACAGTGCATCAGTTGAAGAAGTCTCGACTGTTTGGGAAGAATATCAGGGTTGAGGTCTGGTAAGGAAGAGGGGCACTCCAGAGCTACATATCCATGCTCTCCGAGCCATTCCAAGCCTAGGCAGGGAAAATGACATGGAATGCCTTGGAGAGCATAAGTATGTTGCGCTGGAGTGACCCTTTTTCTCACCAGACCTCAATCCAGATATTCTTCCCAAACAGTCGAGGTTTCTTCGACTGCTGCCCCGTCACTAGACCCGCGGATTTTAACATGGTTCACACAGTGAAAGGATGTTCAGTCGACCGTGCTCTGTTACCCTAAGATTCGTGGCGGGAATGCTAGATTTTGCCACTCTATTCGTGATTTTACCCTAGAACGATACGACGAAGACGACCCATGATAAGCCGGGACCATTTAACTAATGGCATCTTTGGCCACCCCTCGGCTTGGCTAGTCTCTGAGATAACATTCATTCAGAATTTGTGTACAATACTTATGAATACGCTCAAATACTTTGCAATTTTCCTTGTGCTCACCCCCTTATGCAAAATGGTGGGTCCAGGAAGAGTGCGAGAAGCTTCATGCAAAGGTCTGCACTAACCCCATAGATAACATGCCTAGGAGGGTGCGGATGGTGATCAACGCCAAGAGTAGGTGGACTAGGTACTAGAAACGTTGTTCGAAAGTTTGCTCTTTGTCTTGGGAAAAAACTGTCCGGATGTACTCGTTGTATATCTTTTGGAATATGAGTTGGATCCAATGTACTATTCTAGTTCTTAGTGCTGTGAACGCATCCACTTTGTGCCTCTCCCAACGCATACCACCATGCATCTTGCAGGTTTACCATACAGTAGTCTTAAAGCCTAAAAACCCAACTTCGTGCCAAACATCCGGACGGTTTTTTCCCTCAGTGTACTTCCTTGTGCTTGTCGACGACTTCACTCGTTACACCACAGTCTTTCCCCTGGAGCGCAAGGCCGACGTGCCTGGCGCTCTCATCCCCTGGCTTGTCTCTGCGCGTGTCCACCGCGGTCTCCCTGTCTTGCGTCTTCACTCAGACCGTGGTGGCGAGTTTGCCTCCGGTGTCCTTGGTCGCGTTTGTCGTGCGGAGGGCATCACCCAGACGTTCAACCTACCGGACTCCCCACAGCAGAATGGGGTCGCTGAGCGACGCATCGGTTTGGTCATGGAGGTCGCTCGCACCTCCATGATCCATGCCGGTGCACCCCATTTTCTGTGGCCGTTCGCTGTGCGCTACGCGTCTCACCAGCTTAACCTGTGGCCACACCCTCAGCAGCCGCAGGTTTCGCCGACCCGTCTTTGGACTGGGTCTCCTGGTGACGCGTCTGCGTTCCACGTCTGGGGCTGCCTTGCTCACGTCCGTGCCTCCGGCACGGACAAGCTCACTGCCCGCACCCTTCCCTGCGTCTTCCTCGGTTTTCCCCTTGACGCGTCCGACTGGCACTTTTACCACCCGCCGTCTCACCGCTTCTTTCACTCTCGTGACGTCACCTTTGACGAGTCCGTCTCCTACTACCGCCGCTTTCCCCACCGTGGTCCCCCGGTTACCCCCCCCTGTTCCTCGTCACCCCTTCCCCGGTAGTCCCTGCCCCTCCTCCTCCTCCTCCTCGTCCCGCCCCCTCTGGTGTGTCCCACGTCACCCCCCTTCCGTCCGTGGACCCGGTTGAGGAGTCTTCTGACTCTGGTGGCCCTCCTGTGCAGTCCTCGCCGGCCGCCCCTTCCCAGGTGTCCCCTCCCCAGTCCCCTCCTCCACCGCCACTACCGCTGCTGCAGCCGTCGTCGTCGCCGCCGCCGTCGCCGTCGCCTCCGCCGCCGCCGCCGCCGCCGTCGCAGCCCCTGTTCGCCGACTCTGGGGGTGCTGGTCCCGGTCGCCCTGGGGGTGGTCCCTCTGGGGGTGCTGGTGTGGAGAGTGCCGGTGATAGCCGAGGAGCAGCTTGCGGTCCAGGTGTCGCCGTTGTGCCGCCGCAGCAGCGGTCCCCGCCGGTGTCCGCCCTTCGCCTGCTCGGCCTTCCGTCACCCGACCCTGCGTCTGTTCCTCCCCGGCCGTCTCCTCCTCTTCCTGTCTACGGCCCTGTTTTTCCTCCGCCGGACTCGTCCCCGGCTCGTCTCCCCCCTCGTTCCCCTCCTGTGTCCCCTCCCCTATCTCCTGACCCGACTCCTCCGTCGCACGTCTGGTCTCACCGCCCCTCCCGTGCTCGTCCTGCCTCGCCTGTCTTGCGCTCCCACCCTATGTTGCTTCGTTCCCACGCGTCTCGTCCTCCCCTTCTCCCATCGCCTCCTCCGTCCTCCCTTGTTGTTGCGCCCCCCCCGCTGTCCGACTACCTTCGTGCCGCTCGTCCTCTCGTTCCTCGGGTCCTTGCCTCTCTCGTTACCGACCCGTCTGTTCCGGTCTCGTGCCTTGCCGCTCTTGTCGCTGCTGTCGCTGACTTTGCCTCTACCCGCCGCCTTGACTACGCCACCGCTCTGGTCTCTGACCCTGCCTGTCCTCCGTCTGTCGGGGGTGCTCCTGCCCTTGGCAGTGACGTCCTGGAGGACCGCCAGTTCGAGCTTGCTTTCCTCTCCGAGGCTGCTCCCCATCTCTGTTCCATGCTGCTAGTCCCTGAGGGTGACCCAGACGCTTTCGACATCCCGACCCCTCGCACTTACGCTGAGGCGACTTCGGGACCCTGCGCCTCGCAGTGGATAGCTGCCATGGAGCAGGAGATGGCATCTTGGAGATCCACCGGCACCTTCGTCGACGCAGTTCCCCCACCTGGGGTGAACGTAGTCGATGGCCGCTGGCTCTTCAAGGTGAAGCGCCCTCCTGGAGAGCCGCCTGTCTTCAAGGCGCGCTATGTGGCTAGAGGCTTCAGTCAGCGCGAGGGGGTGGACTTCTTCCAGACTTTCGCTCCGACCCCGAAGATGGCTACTCTTCGGGTTCTGTTACACCTAGCTGCTCAGCGTGACTACGAGCTTCACTCCCTCGACTTCTCCACTGCCTTCCTTCAGGGCAGCCTACACGAGCAGGTCTACCTGCGTCGCCCTCCGGGCTTTACTGGCACCTTCCCTCCTGGGACCCAGTGGCTCCTGCGGCGCCCCGTCTACGGCCTGCGCCAGGCTCCCCGTGAGTGGCACGACACTCTCCGTGCTACCCTTGCTGACCTGCAGTTCTTTCCGTCTTCCGCAGACCCTTCACTCTTCGTTCGTGCTGGCCAGACTCCGTTCTACATCCTTGTTTACGTCGACGACCTGGTCTTTGCCACGGCAGAGAGGGACGCACTGGCCTCCGTGAAGGCAGAGCTGCTGAAGAGACACACCTGCACTGACCTTGGAGAACTGCGCCGTTACCTTGGCTTGCAGATCTCCAGGGACAGAGCTGCGCGCACCATCATCCTGACTCAGTCACACTTGGTGCGCCAGGTCCTTCAGAGGTTCAGCCTTCAGTTCTCCTCTGCACAGCCCACCCCTCTGCCTGTAGACCACAGACTCTCCGCTCCAGTACCTGAGGAGTTGGTAGAGCCCAGCGGCCCCTACGCAGAGCTGGTGGGTTGCCTCATGTACAGTACCTGATGACTTGCACTCGTCCAGATCTCGCGTACCCTCTCAGCATCCTGGCGCGCTTTGTGGCCACAGGCAGACACCGACCGCAGCACTGGTCTGCCGCTAAGAGGGTTCTACGTTATCTTGCTAGTACATCGGGCATGGGGTTAGTGCTTGGAGGACGCAGGCCAGTGGTCCTTACTGGACACACAGACGCTTCGTGGGCAGACGACGCTGAGACACTCAGGTCTACCCAGGGCTACTGCTTCAGCCTTGGCTCAGGTGCCGTCTCGTGGAGAGCTACTCGCTCCTCGTCTGTTGCGCAGTCCAGCTGTGAGGCTGAGATCTACGCTGGTGCCATGGCGGCACAGGAGCTCCGCTGGCTGACCTTCTTGCTCACTGACTTAGGTGAGCGGCCTAGCTCTGCCCCGGTCCTGTTCGCTGACAACAGGGCCATGATCCTCCTGTGTCAGGAGCCTCGACTCGAGGGCAGAGCGAAGCACATTCAGCTGCGGTACTTCCTCCTGCGTGAGCTACAGCAGCGACGTCAGGCTTGCGTAGTACACTTGGCCTCAGGTGCCAACACAGCTGATATCTTTACGAAGGCGCTTGCGCCTAAAGATCATCAGCGGCACTGTGTACAGCTTGGTCTAGTTCCTGTCGCTTCTCACTTGCTAGGACCTTGACTTGTACTGTCCTTCATATGTATACTCAGACTGGACTTGTGTCCTCTCCCAGTGGCTGGACTAGTAGTGCCGCCCTGGTCTTGTTCTTGCCTTGTCTGTACTCCTTCTGACTGGTCTCTCAGACCCTTGTCTCAGAGGTTGGACTAGTAGTGCCGCCCTGAGCTGCTTGTTTAGGGTATTCCCCTATGCAGTCTAGGGGGTGTGTCAAACATTTGTATTTGTTATGTTTGTATAGACTGTATAGGGTTACCTCTTAGAGGGTACAACACTTAGGTATATTTGTGTGTACTCTCACTTTACCATCATTCAATTCTAATTCTGATACTTAGGTCCATTGCATGGGAAAACTGGAGTTCGGGTGTTGGGGGGAAGGGGAGGGGGGCGGGAGGGGGCAAACGGAAGTGTGTGAAAATGTGAAGGATGGAGAGTGATGCAAAAGTGGGAACAAAAAGCTAGATCATCATATTCCTTACCACAATGCCCGTCGAATCCTCTCAGCTGCCTCACAACGTCCCGAATAGCCACCAAGCACTGTCACACGTCACCGATACCGAACAAATCGTAGCACAACCATCACAGTATCGCGTGCCGCATAACCCTCACATCCCCCACCTCATGTGCATGCCCCCCTCCACCCGTCCCCTCCCCGGTGCCACCTCCCCCCTGCCCCATCCACCTGCCCCTCTGCACCGTGCCCCACCTCCCCAAACAGCAGATGCAGCTGAGCAAAAGGAGAAAGCATTGTGGACGCATTCGGCAACGGAGGTGAGGAGGTGTGTGCAGGTGAGTGTGCATGGGGAGGGGGAGAAGGCGAGTGTGGAGTGAGTGAGGGAGAGAGTGTGGGAGTGAGTGTGAGTGGCACGATGTGAGTAAGCCTCGCCTCCTGCCCGGTGCCTCTCACTGCGTCCCTCATCTGCACGCGGCACACCATGCCGCACAGCAGCTCTGACAGCACGCATGCTGGAAAAACGAGAGGGAGAGGAGAGGGGAACGGGTGGCGAATGGCAGAGGGAGGTGCCGTGAGTCGGAGAACGCACATGGCGTCATTTGCAAACGACAGACCATGCCGCACAGCAGCTCTGACAACACACAGGCTGGGAATAATATAGGCGAGGGGAGAGCGGCGCAGGAGGGCGGACCGTGGCGGAGATAGCAAGGATCGAAATTAATAGAAACGACAGCATGACGGCTGCATGCGCTGACAAAGCGAGTCTACCTGCATGAGGGTATTTGCCAACGAAGCACATCCACTGGGAGCCATTGCAGCCAATCAACAGTTGAGCTGCCTTGTCAAAGGCCACAGCAGCCAACGGCTGGGATTCCCCCGGCAGCACCAGGAGCAGCTGATAGGCGTCGCGACACCATTCAGAAGGAAGGGTGTGGGGGGGACGGCGAGGCAAGTCAGCGGAAGTGCAGGAAAATGGGGGGTTGGGGGAGGAGGTAGTGGCTAGGGCGTGATGGGTTTAGATATGGTTGCATGCTTGAGCTCTTGCAGGAGTCGTGAAAAACTATGCTTTGATGAATAGATTCCGAAGCAAACGCTCTTTTAGTTAGATAAGCACTGTGCTCAAAGCTCATCACATTGAGCCTTACCACCACCAATCTCTGTCCTTCTTTAAATACAGTCAAGTAAGAAGCTCTGCAATGCTGCCTTAAGCAGTGTGGATCGATACCAGCTTCCCCTCAGTGTGTTCGATGTTCAGTTTTGAGACATCTCAAAACCAAAACAAGCTCCGCAATGCTGCCTTAGCATTGTGGATAGATACCAGCTTCCCCTCAGCGTGACAGAAGTTTAGTTTTGAGAGACGTCTCAAAACCAAAAGAAGCTCCGCCGCAATGCTGCCTTGAGCATTGTGGACAACTAGCTTCCCCTCGGCGTCGTGAATCTTACTCACACCTTTCACCTCATCTCACTCTACACCTTTCCTTGCCTCCTTCACTATCACGCCTTCCACCTCGCCTCATTCTCTTGTTTATAAGCACCTCGCCCAATAATCACCCTGAGCTTAAACAGCTGCGTTTGCCGCGCGATTGCCTGAATCGGCTTGGCAGAGCGATCTGCCAGCTGGCACTCGCTGCACGCCCACTGGCGCCACGTGGCGACCTGCTGGCCTCTCACGGTGTACTCTGACAGGGAGCGCGTGCAGCGCGCACACGCAGGGTAGCTGACGTGGCGTTGGGGGTGCAGAGGGGGGGAGGGGGAGAGTGAGGGGAGAAGTGTTTCGCGAGAGAGCATTCACGTAGGAGCACAAGTTGCAGTTGACGCACCATAGATTCGCCGTGTCTACCAGCAGCGACTATCTTGCACTGAGGCACCCACCAGAACCGATCATCACCGAAACCAAAAACAATAAAGCTGTTTTGGACGCACCACAGATTCGTCGTGTCAGCGGCAATTATCGTGCACCGAGGCACCACGCGCATCTCTCCAGCGATAGTTTTTTCCAGCAGTCGTACTCGACGCCGTTTGCCTCGACACACACGCACAGACGGACAATAGCTTCGAGCGTTGAACCAGCAGCTACGCGCGACGTTGTCTCCCGCGTTCCACGGACGAAACCACCTTCGCGACGTACTTTCGATTCATAAGTACAGTACTCGTCTTCCACACACGACACGCGTCGCGACGAAAGTGACCTAATCAACCCAGAAGTGCCCAGCGAGAAACGGCGTCGTTTATTGCACCTCAAACCACTGCAAGTCATCATCCCACGCCACGCTGTTCATTCTAGAAGCCTCAGAGGAGAAACTTCCGGGCCCTGCGGGTTACGCTTGGCACAGCGACGGCGGTGAAATGACAAGATCCTGCAGGACAAATGAACGCCGACTGCCAGGTGCTCTTGCCCCTCAAACGTGATCTCGCCGGTCAGAAGTGGTGAGATAATGAAATCCTCGTTATCAGACTGTTAGGGTGAGAGTAGTTCCATGTTTCGGCGAGTTTTTTATTAAAAAACAATTAGCATATGCATTCAATTTAAAAATTAAATCCATAGATGCAGAACAAGAGGCGACAACATGAAAGATTCTCCAGAATAAGACATTTCACCTAAAAGCATCCAGCATAATCCATTGCATGGCACGAGCTACAGTGACCACCTTCATATAGTGCATCCCCCCAAACCTCGCCTTCATCTCTGCTGGAAGGATTTCATCTGGAGTGATCAAAATCGGAGACCTCGCCACCACAACCCCTCTCCCTCCCTTCACTCCTCCCTCCTGATCCCCCTCCTCCACTCCCTCCTCTGACAACCACTCTACATCAGCCTTGAGCCAGCCATCGATGGGCAATATCCTATCCTCTCCAAAAACCACCTTCTTCCCGTCTCGCTCGTACCTCTCCCTCGCATACGGGTGCACCATATCAAGGGCCCGCTGCATCGCTGCTTCATTGATCGATGCCGCCACGTGGCGCACTCCCATTGGCGCTGCTGCAGCCCATGCTGAGAAAGCCGCTGCAAGAGATGATTTGTCTGCTGCTGCAGGCGTGGTGGCTGCTGCTTGTGTTGGTGCAGTACCCAAGCCTAATGCCTCCTCTAAAGCAGCAGAAGTCTTGCACTTGACCCACAAAGTGTGGCTCTGGCACGGCCAGAACTTGCCCTGCGTCTGCAGCCACGCAGACTGCAGCACGGTGGTCGGGGAGGAGTTGTTATGCGGGCCGACAAGGGCTGGCTTGGAGCGGATGAAGTCTGGCAGGAAGTCATAGAAGATGGTGTGGGAAACGATGGGGGCGGGGAGGGCTGCAGTGGAAACGCCCGCTTGGGAGAGTATGGCGTCCTGTTGGCGTAGAGGACAGGGATGGGTGAGAGGGAGGGGGGTTGGGTGGAGCAGAAGGAGGGAGAGCGGATGAAGTCCGGCTGGAAGTCATCAACGATGGTGTGGGAAACGATGGGGGTGGAGAGCGGTGCAGTGTAAAGGTCTGCTTAAGAGAGAATGGCGTCCTGTTGGTGCCACGACAAGGGAGGGGGGTTGGAGGGTTGGGTGAGGACAGGGATGACGCCCGGCAGGAAGTTGTGAAAGATGGTGTGGTAGGGGAGGGGAGGGGAGGAGAGGGGAGAAGTGGGGGGGCGGGTGGGGAGGCTCGCTTGGAAGAGGATGGCGTGCTGTTGCGGGGAGTGGGTGGGAGCAGGAAAGGAGATGAAGTCCAGGGAATGCATGGAAGATGGGGAGAGGGGTAGGGAGACCGACTTGTGAGAGGATTGTGCCCTGTTAGAGCCAAGAGAAGGGTAGGGGAGAGGGAAAGGGGGGGTGGGGGGGCAGAAGGAAGGAGAGCGGATGGAGCCTGGGAGGAAGGCAGCGAAGGCGGTGTGGGAAGCGAAGGTGCCGCGCCTCCCTGGGAGAGAATGGCGTCCTGTTGATGAGAGATGAGAGTATGGAACACCCAAAACGGCCGTGAAAAGGCAACGTATTTTGAGTCGACTCAGGTGTATTTTGATCAGGTGTATTTTGAGTCCCCCTGGGAGAGAAAGGCGTCCTGCTGTTGAGAATATGGAAACACAAAACGACCGTGAAAAAGGGCAACCCAAGACAAGGAATCACCACGACCTGGGGATTTCCCAGCAGAAGTCTATTCACTGCAAAGGAAGCAGCATTCCGCAGAGGAGTTAAGGGAAGAGGCGGACTGACCAGAACGTGCTGAGGCTCCTCCCTTTCCATGTCCATAGCTTTCCAAAACGGCTGCAGGTAGTCCAAGGACCACCCCACCGCCCCCCGCAGCAGCTTCAGCCCTTCCTTGCATGCCCCAGCCTCACTCAACTCCCCCCATCCTCCCCCCCACTCCTCCCCTCACCCCTTCTTCCCCTCCCACTCCTCCGCTCCCCCCTTCACCTCCCTCTTCGCTGCTCCCTCCCGCCAGCAGCAGCGGCGCCCAGCCATTGTCCGAGTGCAGGTGCAGCAGGATAAACGCCGAAACCAGCCGCCCGATTTCCTCCCTCACCTCCTCCACGGGTCTAGAAGCTTCCAAATCACCCCTCTCTCTGTTTACCACCCCGTTCCCCCCCTGCGCGTGGTTCATCCCCTTTATAATCACAAACGGCTTCTGGACGATGGACAGCAGTGGCCCCAGCGCTGCTGCTGTCGCGCTGCCAGGCGCAACAACAGAAGAACCACCTGAAGAATCACCTGACAGGGCACCTGAGGTTCCAGGGTACAGTTCCTTGACTGCTAGAGCCATGGAGATGGGGGGAGCCTGACCGTCCCTGGAACCGATAATCGTGAGAGTGGGCCTTGGGAACTGCTGGAGAGAAGTTTCCTCGAAGTTGTGCCATGCTCCGAGCTGGATGAGAGCGAGGCAGGACTCACGCACCACTGGAGTCATCAGGAAGGCGCCCACGCTGGTAGGGGGGGAGAAAGGGAAGTAGAGGGGGGAGAGGGGGAGGGGTGCGGGCGAGGGGAGAGTGGAGAGGAGGAGACGTTTCTTGAGCGACGTGCGACAATCAGAGGTGGATGAGGGCGAGGAAGGACTCACGAACCACTGGAGTCATCAGGAAGGCGCCCACGCTGGTACGGGGGAGAGGGAAGAAATAGTGGCCAAGGGAGAGGTGAGGAGAGGGAGGAGAGCCTTGCTTGCCCATTAACACAAGGACCGCTTGGAGAGAGGTGAGGAGAGGGAGGAGAAAGAGGAATGTAACGCTTGTTAGAAACCACACCAACAGGCCTCTTCACCGTTAACTCATTTCAGTAACCCACCTGTGTCCGAGCGCAAACACCCTGGGAGTTCCCCCACCGCTGGTCACATCTGCGCCCATCTCCTTTACTGCTTTCACCGCTGCCTCATACCCGTCCCGCGCCCACGTCTTCCCTTTCACCGGGTCCGGAACTGTGATCTCCTTCAGCACCGCCACCCACAGGCGCTTCCGCAGGGATGGGGGGGTGGCTGACCTTATAGCGCGGATGAGCGGGAGGTAGGAGAGTGCGGGGATGAAGGCTCCAGGGGCGAGGAGGAGGAGGTAGGGCGGGGAGGGAGGAGAGGGGGAAGTGGCATCTGGTGTGGGTTGGTCCACGGGGGAAGGGGGGAGGATGTACGCCAGCTGGGTTGGTGGTAAGGGGAAGGGAAAGTAAGCGCAGGTGGAAAAGGGAGGATGGAATGAGGTGAATCTGCATTCAGGTTTTTAAGCTGTCGGCTATCAGGTGATTTTAGGTGAATCTGTTATCAGGTGTTTTTAGGTGACTCTGCTGTCAGGTGATTCTATGCGAATCAGCTATCAGGCGGACTTTGGTGAATCAGCTAACAGGTGTTTTGAGCCAAATCTGCTATGAGCTGATTTGAGCCAAATCTGGTATCAGGTGATTTGAGCCAGATCTGCTATCAGGTGTTTTGAGCCGAATCTGCTTGTAATTTTAAGCGTATCACCTATCAAATGAATATTGGCGAATCTGCTGCCAGGTGCTTTTATGCGTATCAGCTATCAGATGAGTATAGGTGAATCTGCTATCAGGTGCTTTTATGTGTATCAGCGATCAGATTAGTATAGGTGAATTATCAGTTGCTTTTGTGTGCATCAGCTATAAGATAAGTGTAAGTGAATCTGCTATCAGGTGCTTCTTTGTGTATCAGCTATCAGATGAGTACAGGTGAATTTGGTATTAGGCAAATTCAGGTCAGGTGAACCTGCTAGCAGCTGATTTTAGTTGAATCTGGTATATTGCTGCAGTGTCAGGTGATTATGGTATGCCTGCCACTCGCACCTCAGTAGCGACCTCAGTGGTGATGACGTCGTCATCCACGACGTCCTTGTCCTTCCCTCCCCCCGTCATCGGCTCTTTTCCTCCCTCGCCCTCACTGCTTGCGTCCGCAGCACCGCCAGCCGCGGCCCTAGCCGCGCAACTAACGGACAGACGCGGCGACGAAGCCACGTGGCGGAAAATCACTGGAGAGCTGCTCGTATGATCCGTGAGCCGGAGGCGACGGACGGACAACACGCGGAGCTCTGAGGGGCGACGGCGGAGCGATGCGTGAGACGAGGAACAACCACCTGAGACCGTTTTCTTCGCAGACGTCTCGAAAGACGATGCGCGAGATGAGGGAGAGGTGACGGTGGAGAATAAATGAACGCCATTGACGAGGGAACTATTTGGGAGCGAAGCTTGCACGAGAGGAAAGGAGAAACCGAGGAGGACATTCGTGGCCATTAAGAATCGCGAGTTATCGGAAACGAGACGAAGAAGATGAAGGAAGAAGAGGAAAGAAGAGGAAGAGGACTCCTTCGGAAGAAATTGAGGAAGAAGAAAGACAACCGTGTTTCGAGACGCCTCAAAATCCGAGGCGGGCACTGGTCACGGTGCCTAAGAGTCGCTCGCGAGATTTCGGAAACGAGGCGTCTCATCAGACGAAGAAATCGAGGCCTACAGTGCGGAGAGGAGAGAAGCGAAGGAAGATCTCAGAGCTTGGACGAGGAATCTCCCCGGGAAACGCGACGACCCAATTGCAAGTCAGCAGCCACCCAATTTTTTGTTGACGCCATGTTGCTCAGTGCTCTGCACATCCTCACCCCCCAATCCACCTCCACATCTCCATCCGCCCAATCTCCTTCCCTGCCGGACCCATTCTGACCGTCAGACTTGAGTCAAGCAGCAGACATACCAATCGAACGGCGGGAATCGTGTTCGTCATTCTCAAGGGACGGCAAGACATCTCTCAACACAACATCCCCACCGCCAATGTTTGAGGCGATTCTCGGCTTCTGATTGGCTCTTGAAGCCAGGGACCCAAGTTTCTAGAACCTGGGGCAGTGTTTTACAGTTGGTTGGAAGAACCCAGGTTTTGTGTCCTGAGGGTGCATGAATTGCAACACTCCCAGGCAGTTTCACTGGTGCCTACCTACAGCTCGCCGGCCAATCAGTAGGTCTAGTCCCAACCAACTGTTTGTCCGTTGACGACGATGGCGATGACCTGTAACCTGTACTGAACCACTCCAGGGAAAGACCTCGAATGGAACCCAGGGTCAAATGGCGCCAGCTGCATCAACTTCTTTGTCCGTACACGCCGAAATATTGGGAAATACACCTTATCCCCTTTACAATACCACCCGTTTCAGGCGACAAAACTTCTACAGTCCAAGTTGAAGTTCTGCACTGCTTATGTCCCCTACATAGTGTCCACCTATAACTGTAAAGTTGCACTATCCAGCCAGCGTGGTGACCAATGGACCGGAGAAATCTTCCAAGCAACCAATAGGGGGAGTATGTTACCCCGCAATCATTTTGGACACGTGTCGATTTCCCCTCTATTGTCGATTTTGCCCGTGTTACCAGCTTTGTGACTTTCGGTCCCGCGCCGCGCGAGTTTTGAGCGGGAATCAAAAGGAGAAATGGTGTAGAAATCCCAAGTCTCTCGGGTCCTGCGCGTTTGCCCGGCAGTCCCAAGGCCAGGTCCTCGTGTCTGGGACTGGGACCCCTAGGGCGGAACAGTCGGGGGGGCCCCGCCAGCGCCTCCCGCCCCCCGAATGTCGAACCTCCGGGGATTACATCATCGAAGGGAATGGGTAAAAAACGTGCCCCTTTTGATAAAACCCCGTATCCGTAGGTCTGTCGTCGCCGCCACTCTAGCTAGCGACGGGGTCCGTTTTGACGGCGATCTCCGCGTCGTCTAGCGACGTCGTTCGGCGACACTCCGATGGCGTTGGTAACACCGGGGACAAGGATAAATGTTGTTGAAACACTACGGTTGAGTGGTGTGTAGAAGATACCTGTTGAATGATTTTTTAACCCGTTATACTTTAGAACACCTTGTTGCTTGGTGATGGGCAAATATAATGAAAAGTGTCTGCCTAGCCTTGATGTTCTTCTACTGGGAACCCGGGAGCTGGTCGATTATAAAACGGCGTACACTTGGATTTGTCTATTTTTTTCGAATCTGCGATGGGAATTCTGGGGACTTGGGCACTCAGAAGTTAGGTTCGTCGTTTCGGTGGGTGCATATCCATCGTAGAGTTTCCGAGGGAGCGTTACGTTCGGAGATTTCTGTGGGAGCGATGTCGTAGGAACGCTTTTGTGGTCGCGTTTCTGTGGGAGCGTTTATGCGGGAGCGTTTCTGTAGGACCGTTCTCTAGGGGACGCTTCTGTGGGTGCGTATCTTTGGGGACGTTTCTGTTTGAGTTCAGTGTGGGCGCGTTTCTGTGGGGACGTTTCTGTGGCAGCGTTTCTGTGGGTGCGTTTCGGTGGTAGGGTTTTTGTGGGCACGTCTGTGTGAGCGGGATTCTGTGGTAGCGTTTATGTGGGGGCGCTTCTGTGGGGTCGTTTCTGCAGAGGCATTTATGTGGGCACGTTTCTGTGGGCACGTTTGTGTGGGAACGTTTCTGTGGGTGAGTTTTTGTGGGTGCATTTGTTCAAGGGCGCTTCTATGAGAACGATTCTAGACGAGCGTTTCTCTGTGTTTTTCTGTTGGAGCGATTCTCTGAGACCGCTTCTGTGGAGGCGCTTCTGTGGAGACGTTTCTGTGGGCGATTAGGGTGAGAGCGTTTCTGTGGGGACGCTTTTGTGGGAGCATCTCTGTGGGAGTGTTTCTGTAGGACCGCTCTCTGGGGGCGCTTCTGTGGGTGCGTATCTTTGGGGACGTTTCTGTTAGGGTTCAACGTGGGCACGTTTCAGTGGGGACATTTATGTGGCAGCGTTTTTGTGGGTTCGTTTCGGTGGTATGGTTTCTGTGGGCACGTTTGTGTGAGCGGGATTCTATGGTAGCGTTTCTGTGGGGGCGCTTCTGTGGGGTCGTTTCTGCGGAGGCGTTTCTGTGGGCTCGAAACTGTGGGCACGTTTGTCTGGGAGCGTTTCTGTGGGTGAGTTTCTGTGGGTGTGTTTGTGTAAGGGCGTTTCTGTGGGAACGATTCTGTGCGAGCGTTTCTCTATGTGTTTTTCTGTTGGAGCAATTCTCTGGGAGCGCTTCTGTGGAGTCGAATCTGTGGAGCCGCTTTTGCGGAGACGTTTTCTGTGGGGGTTTAGGGTGGGAGCGTTTCTGCGGGGACGTTTATATGGGAGGGTTTCTGTGGGGGCGTTGCTGTGGGGGCGTTTCTATCAGTCGTAGACTTCCTCAAACAGGATCGTGATGGAAGAGGATGGCGTTAAAATGTTCGTAGATTGTACGCAGGCGGATGAAGATGAAACGTTCATAACGTGTACACAGGGCGAAGCAGAGGCAGATGCTGTTGGGGCTTCGGTTGAGGGAAATGACGTAGAAGATGAGCCGCTTTGTACAACGGAGCAGCATGAGGAAAGGGCGCCGAAGAAAAAACAAAGAGATGAGGGATTGGCAGATCCAAGGGTGGATCTGACCAGAGAACGACCAGAAGAGGAGGGGGAGGGAGAGGGGTGCGGGCAGCGGGGGGATGAGGGGGAGGAGGAGGAGACAGAGGAAGAGGGCTCTGGATCGGCTGCCCGCGTAGAAGTCCCGCCTCAGCCCGGCAGAAACATGTACGCGGGTAATGCGTACGTGGAGACAACAACCAAAGAAAGCTTGGTTCAGCGGGCATCAGTTCCTCTGCTGAAGGTCGAGGCGAAAAGCACTCGACCTCAGTACGCCGGGTATTTTATGGAGTTCAAGAAGTGGGTTGTGAAGTTCTTGAACGAAGTCAAGGATCTGAAGATTCCGGAGGGAGAGTTGCTGGAGCACGATGACGAGGTCGGCGAGTCCTTGGGTAACAATTTGGGGAAAGATTGGTGTAAAGTCCCCCTCTCCGAGATCCATCTGCATGGACCACGCACGATGAAGTGGAGGCTCGAAGCGTATGCCGAGTACATGTTTTGGCAGACCAAGGAGCACGTCGAAGCTTTGAAAGAGGGTCAGAAGGTCATCGCAGGGAAAGCCCCAAAGAAATGCACGGTGGGCATGATGAAAGCCCGGATGAACGCCTTGGGCTGCCTCTGCTTCGTCGATGCCATTCTGTTCAACGAGGACGCATCCTTGCCGACAGCCCTTATCGCATCTGCGCGAGATCTTGTGAAGGTCAAGCTACGACAGTTGAACGCTCAACAGATCGCGTAAGTTTTTGCATGTTCTGCCTACTTTGCCTTCATAGCACGGTCGTTGAGCAAAGATTAGATCTAACATTTCTTCCACTGCGTTTTCTGCAGAGAGGGCAAGGATCAACATCGAGGGTCTCTCGACGACTGTTACTGCGCGGACCAGTTTCGCCAGCTGAACGAGTTGACCTTGCCGACCGCTGCTAAAGACGAGTTCGACAAAGCTGTGAATGAGCCCAGTCTGACTCTGTGGAGGGCATTGGCGGTGAAGATGATGATTCTTCAGTCACACTACGTGCTGGGAAGGGGTTGCAGCATTCGACATATTCGCTTCGCCAACATGTACATCCATGAGATTCCGAGCAACACCTCGTCTGCCACCCCCACAAAGGTGCCCATCCTCGTCATAGCGAGCCGAAAGTCAAAGGTTGTGCACGACAACAAGCTGGACCACCAGTTTCTAACGCATAGCCTCTACTGGCAGCAATGCGCCATGGGTGCTGTGTTTCTGTGGATCCACCGGGTGTACGACCTCATGCATCTGTACTACAAGGACGAAAAGAGGGAGATAATTAAGCCTCTTGACTTCTCCGACCCGATGAAGTGGTCGTCGAAGCACCTCTTCTTCGCCCTGGATGACCCCGAGCAGGGGGAGCTGCCGTACAAGACGCACAACAAGTGGGTCGGTTGGGCGATAAAAGCGGCCAAGTGGTTGCTGAGCAAGGTCACCCACATCTTCAGAAGATTCGCTGCACAGATCCTCTGCGACCTTCTCTGTCCAGAACCGCAGATTGCACATCTGAGAGGATGGGAGCAGAATGAGATGCGCAAGTGCTACCTCGTCTCACCTCCACGACAGGCTCTCTTTCTTCTGGCTGGATTCAGCGGCGTCGAGGGAGACTGTTACATTGGAAGACATGACGTCCCTCTGCCAGACGGTTTGGAAGAGTTGTTCGTTCAGCACATTTACCCGTGGCAGGAGGGCGAATTGAAGAAGGTACAATCACTTCTGCGGGCCTGAATCACATTCGCAGATGCTTTGTGGCTTTGTTTTTGTCTTGGGAGCACTTGTATGTCAACGTCTCGTTGGAAGCGTATTTGTGGGGGCGTTTCTGTGAGATCGTTTATGTGGTAGTGTATCTGTGCTAGCGTTTCTGTGGCAAGGTTTCTGTGGGTGCGTTTATGTAAGATTGTTTCTACGGTACCGTTTATGTGGTGTGGATTCTGTTGGAGCGAATCTGTGGTGTGGTTTTTGTGGTGCGGTTTCTATGGGAACATATGTGTGGGAGCATATCTGTGGGAGCGTATCTGTCAGAGCGTATCTGTGGGAAAGTTTTTGTGGGTGCGTTTCTGTGACATCGTGTCTGTGAGTTGTTTCAGTGGTGTGGTTT